TCTGCAGACAGGCCACGGGCAGACAGGCCACGGCCGGGGTCATACCATCAGCGCATGATTCCCCCTGCGGGAAACGAACTCAAGGCTTGTTACGGTTTCATGTAGACTATATGTCATTCTCTGCCTTTAGTTTCGGCTGGGTTTCCATTACTAGTTTCCATGCACACATAGACAGGTGCACGTGGCACATCATGGGGAACAAGGCACGTGGCCGTACGTGTAGATAACATCAGCTTGTTTTCTCCCTACTTTTCTGTGGGGGTCTGAATCTCGGTGGGAGAAGAAGACGAAAAACATACTTCATCCGTTTGCCCCACCGATGCAGACGAGCATATTGGTCAAAGCCTCAAAGTTGTTGGATCTGACATATGTAGGCACCTCTCATACGCGTGTCACTCTCGCTAAAGCGCCTCGCGTGCACTTTTGAGTTGTTGGATCCAAGCGCCAATAACCTACATACGGTGGTCGCAGTCGATCTCGGTCAGAAAAAATGCGTTTGTTTGTCCGCCCGATAGCCCGATACAAGAATAGGTCCAGACAAAAGCCTCACCGTTGCTGGAGCGGAGAGAGGCGCCTGCCGCGGATTGCAGAGCCACCAGGCCGGTGACGAACGTGAGCGAAAGGCGAGGCATCCTGTGTTGTTGCTGGTGCATGCGCAACAAGATAAAAGCAAAACATTAGGAAAGGAGCCGAAAAGAAGGGAAGGAAATGAGGGAAGGGATGGATCAAGTAAGATTCTATAGTCTCGGCATTGCCCCAGCTGCAGCGTACACGGTTAGAACCACCACGGCTACACCTGCTGGGAGCCGTGCATTCTGCAGGCTGAAAGTTTCGCTGCCCCTGCGATTGTCAAGATCGCCCTCTCATCCATCCGTTGTGTTGTCTGAGATGCTTTGTATGCGCATGAGGAGCTACAGTACAACAGCAGTAGCTGTGCACGACCATCATCTCGCGTGTACAGACATGCACCTACCCGTGTACCCGCGTGCATGCGTGTGGCAGTGTGCATCACAACCCTTGCCTGAATACGGGGGGGGGGAGAGGGAGTACTGCACCTGCTTGGAGAGGAAGATGTTGGAGAAGGAGGAAGGAGGTTGGTTGTTGGTTGTGTGGTGGTGGGGGCTGTGGGGGGGCCGCGAGAGGTGGCAAAGATCACCCATTGATTATTTGCTGAGCTGGCTCTCGGATCTTCTTTGCTTGCGTGATGATGATGCGTGGATCTGCACACTCCACAAGAAGAACCTGCCTTGCTTCCAACGGGTATATGGGTTTTCTGTAGGGGCAAGATTGAGGTTGATTTCCTCCGCGATTTCCTACGCCGTCGCGAGAGGCCGAGATTCCAGCTTTTCATATACGCATGATCTGTGTTCAGATTCATTATGAGAAAAGGAAATAAATGCCCATCTATCTGCGTTATTCGTCCGCCGGAACAAAGAAAAATGGCCGGCACAGAAATTGGATTTAAGTTCTTCACTCGGCGCATGACGTCACCGCACGAGTGCTGATTGCATACACACACACATGAATGTGTGTATAGTCTCTGCCTGCTACACGTACGTACAGTAGATAGACTGCATCTTGCTTCTTGTATTGTGTGGATAATGCGGGTGTGTGCGAGCGCGTCCTCCTCCCCATGGTTCACGGTTCCCCCCCTTTATGCCATGCATGGTGCAGCAGTTGTTTGTTGTTGTTGTTGTTTTCTTCACATTAAAATCGTTCCGATCCCTCTACCCAGTACCTTCCTCTGTCCGACTGATCAAACACTTGACCGAGCGATTCCCGCTGTACTTGCGATTTTTTCTTTTCTTCACCGCACGAAGATCTGAATCGGAAGATCCGCATCATCCGCGCGATATCCCATTTCTGCTGTGCGGTGCATGTGAGCTGCTGGTGCCAAGAGAGGATGAGAGACGAGAGACGGATGCCGACTGTTGGGTATATCATTATGTACCTGTCATCAAACTGCAGCAGGTCATCTTTCTACGACGTACAATGTCGAGGCTGTAGGCAATGCGCAGGATCTGTGTTCAGATTCATTCGGAGAGAATTTGTTGCGCCAAGGATACGTCCGTGTTGTCGTCTACAGATTACAGATATCAGCACCAGGTATTCAGTTGCAGACCTTGACGCGTGCCTTAACCCTTTCGTGACTGGGTTCTTTCTGGATCTTCCGCGTTTTTTTTTGTTCTGCCGGGACCGAATAGACCGATGAGTCATGAGACACACACACACGACACCTGCACTTGAACGTTTGCACGTTTGTTTGCGCACCAACAGGTTCCCACATGGGTCAACCGCACGCACCCCATGGTGCCACAAAGGTTTAGTGCCCAACAGCAGCGTAACCCTCACGTGAAGAATGTGATGAGTGACCGATAACTACACTGACTGCTGTACTGCTGTATGTAGGTGCTGTCGGAAACCGGAGGAGAGAGAGAGGAGAGGGCGCCGTATTTCTTTACCCCAAACACGATTACATGGTGATAGTCTACATGGATACAGCAGCAGCAGTAGAGATACATCGCATGCACAGCAGTTCTACCCCGCCGCCGATGCAGCACACTGGCGCAAGGCATGGCACCGCCTCCAATGCCACTTGGTTGGGTGGTAAATCCAGCGGAGACAAGAAGCACACACGCACGCGGTTTGTTTGTTGGATGCATGCATGCGAAACGAAATGAAAAAGCACCAGCAGCAGCAGCAGCAGCCCGCCGCAGCAGCAGCAGCAAGCACGAGCCGCGCGAGAGATAAACTATGCCTTGTGGTGGCGGTTGGTTGAAGACGGACAAGGAATACACTCGAACACACACGCGCGCAGGAGAACTCGGGGAGAGGCCTCGTAAGCTTGGCCTTCAGTTCTGCAACCACATTCCGAAGGCAAGGAAGAAGGCACACAAGTCAACAGCGAGAGCATGCTTTATCGTACCAGATAAAGACAGGTTTTATCATGCCTCCTATCGTGCCTGTAGTCACGAAAACCCTCTCAAAAACGCGAAGGCACGGGGGCGGGTGTCTCATTGTGACACTTTGTCACTCC